TACTACACATTATTAATTCCTGAATCCAGACTCTATGGTCAAGTAGAGTTAAGCATCGTTTTTGTTGTTTAACATACCAGTATTCCATGGTAGAATACATTAAAAAAAATAATAGAGATGAGATCTCCTCATGTTGCTAAGGCTGGGCTCAAATTACTGAGCTCAGGCAAATCTCCTGCCTCAGCTTCCCTAACTGCTGTCATTAAAGGGGTGAAACACTGCACCCGGCATATAAAAAAACATTTCAAGGCAATGTATTTCACTATTTCTCTTCCTCCTTTCTATTCCCTGCTTAAGTAAAGTGGCTCTGTGCATACAAACGTTAGGTTCATGTCATGGCAGAATAATCTACAGATGCAATTCTATTCCTAAAATGTACATCAAAGGGCTTTTTTTTCCTTCTTCTTCTTCTTGTTTTTTTTTTCAGTGCCCTGGCTGATTTAAGGAGAAAAGGAACGTCTCTGATAGAAACCTGGGGAGAGTTTATTTAGACTAAAGAGTAATAACTAGAAATGAGGGAAAGGATTCAGAGAACCTTGGATTTCCTAAGAAGAAAGAGACCCAGGAAAGAGCCAAGTGCCACACTGTCAGTTCCTCCGGAATATGGCCTTACGTCAGAGAGGACGGTGCCATTGTACATTCTAGGCACTGTGACACTCAATCCCACTAGGTATTCCAGGAATGCAAACATCCCAGGGAAGCAGTGGTCAGTGGGCCAAGAAATGCAATGAATTACATTTGTTTTTACACTTTGACCGAGGACTGCTGACTGGAGGGATTCCTCAATGCCTTTGTGCACTTTTGAAGCACAAAAGTCTTCAGCAGTTGAACTAAAGAATAATAGAATAGAAAGTTTTTCCTTTCCTGTGGAATTTATCACAGGACAAATGTAATACAGCACAGTAGGATAAGATGATTTCCTAATGTATCTAATCAAAAATATTACTTAAGCATGAAAAGAGACTAAAATGTAGCCATCATGCTTCATCATTGAAGTATAAATACATTTAAAAACTGATGAACATGATCAGCAAAAAGAACATGGCTTGTGATAGAATGTACTTTTATGAGGGGGGGTCAAGAACAATGAGCCAGCTTTAGCTTCAAGAGTGTTAGTTCCAGGAATGGATTGAGGCTGCTAATAATTGCATATGTACAAAAGGGTCATCCTACTAAAGAAGAGTAAAATGTAGTGGCTTGAAGGCATCTTTGGTGTGGAGCATTTTACCAAGGCTAACAGAGGGAGATGGAAGGCAGATGAGATGGGAAGTGATTAAATGTTTGCAAGAAATCAGGGAGAATGCCAGAGGGAAAAGATAAAAAAAAAAAGATAGAATGAACAGATTAAAATTAACAACATCAATTTTGTTCAGGTCTAGTCCTCAGAAAACTATAGAAAACTTAATGGTTAAGTTTTTTTGTGTGTGTATTTCATCAGAGTAATGTCTCACTTGAATGATCTTGAACTATTATGATTCTGTTATGGATGTCTGATAACATATTGTTCCTACTTATGCAAAATTGGTTATCCTTTGGCTCTTATATAATGATATAGTGGCATGAGTCAGACCATATGTGTGTATAGTAAATGTAATGCTGAATATTCTATTAAAAAACAACAAAAACTAGAGGTTATACATTTGCCTTTTGCTTCCAAATGTATGCATAACAACAGTTTATAAAGGTAAAATAAGTTGGCAGTTCTTAAAATGAAACTTTTTAGAATCAAGCATCCTAGAAACTCCTCAGTACCAAGAGACTGCCCAAGAAATCTGGGGTTTATTATGTGTAGTATATGTGGAAGTCTGCGAATTATTCACTATCTTCTATGAAGAAATACAGTCAAACGCATTCATCGCTTGGCTTGAATATAGTAGGGATGGTGGTGATTGTGGTGACTGGGAGTTCATGTGCCCTGTCTAGATGGAGAAATCCTTCTCATTTCTTGTCAAATAGTTCTATTTACAATGAGATGCGAAAAGTGTCTGGATTTTTCAATTGTTTAAGAAAAATTGGATGAATTTTTGTGTGAAATGTCCTCAGTTTTGAAAGGCTAGCTACACCATGGCTGGAGTGCAGTGGTGTGATCTGGGATCATTGCAAACTCTGCCTACTGGGTTGAAGCCATTCTCCTACCTCAGTCTCCCCAGTAGCTAAGATTATAGGTGTGCAACACCACGCACAGTACAGATGGCGTTTCACCACGTTGGCTAGGCTGGTCTCAAACTCCTGACCTCGTGATCTGCTTGCCTTGGCCTCCCAAAGTGCTGGGATACAGGCATGAGCCACCGCACCTGGCCAGCAATGGTTTTAAACAGTAAATATGAGCCTAGCATGAACTGAATCACACTGTGGGGAAATAGAGAAATGAGTATGTATGTGGCGCTTAGACTGTCTTTCAGGGCAGACTGTTTTTATTTAATTGAAAGAATGGGCTCCAATACTAACAAAGTTGAAAATGCTGACATATTAGAGAAAAAAATAAACACTCAATCGTAAACAAGACTGAATTGCCATTTTAAATTCATGTATCTCTAAAGTTTAACCTACCTTGGGATAGTCCCTAGGATGCCCTCTTGTTTTCTTCTATACTTAATTTAATAGATTTTACTATGGTACATCTCTTCTTAACAATAGCCAATTTCTCATCTAATATTCAAGAACAAAGGCATGGATATTAGTGGGAAAGTATTAATTTTTTTTATTAAAATGTTACCATTTGTCTTCATTTTAAATGATGTGGCTGAAATCAACTTAATCTGAACGTCATTCTAAAGGTAATGCTTAAAGAAAACCATGTACCTTGACAAACATACCAGCCAGAACAAGGTATCTGCCTCCAACTGATCTGAGTCCTTCCAAAACTGACCAAGAAAGTGGAGGAAATACCTTTCTTCTAGTAATCTAATTATTTCTGAGAAGAAAAAGTAAAATCAAGTCCCTCAATCAGCCACCAATATTAGAAGAAGCTTTGCTCTTCTAATATTAGGGTGGATTGCTATGGGGTTGGGTAGTGAAATAACTGTATCTTCGAAAAAGTAAGCTAAGAGGTTAAGAGGATTAATCTTATATTAACATGAAAGATTATGTTACATTCATGGAGAATAGGCAAAGAAGACAAGCTTTATTTTCCAGTTACCTAGCTATTCAAATGTTATTTTAATCAAAGTTTTAGACATACGAATTATAATATCAGACTTTTTCAGAATATAGTTACAAGAAAACTTAAATGTTTTCTATGTGTTATATAATTCTCAACATATCCTTGAAATTATAGGTCTATATATTTTGTGTTTAAATTAAATAAGTATTATATTACTCATTACTCATTTACAGTGACAATTTATAAACTAAAAATGAAAGAAGCAAATAAAGTTTTTTCACAATTTTGAATTTTAAATTTAGATACTTGTAAATTCTAATGTGATAATTTCATAGGTGATTAAATCTTTTGAAAATATATAGGTAATATTCCTTTCACAAAAGAAATAAATTGAAAGTCACTATAACTTTGTTGGCCATTGAAAGCCAATATTATATGTTATAAGCACTTGGAAGGTTTAGTTTCTTATAAAATCATTTATATTCACTCCCAAACTATTGATCTCTCAGAACTAGAGAAACTAATTAAAATAGTTATATTTATATTAGCTTTATGTCAGCAGATTCTAAAATATGTCTAACTATTTTTAACCTCTGTTAAAAAATACATTAATTTTCAAAGACTGTAATCATTGTCAATATATTAAAAAGAGAAAATGGTTTCTGGTGAAGTTTTGAGAATTCAATTAAAATCTTGTTAAAAAAATGCTTCTTCAGTAAATTTGTTCCATATACCATAAAATGGTAACATTAAACTTTGTAGCATTAGTATTTTCCTATTTATCTGTATAATAATAAAGGAAATATTTCTCAATAAATAATCAGAATATCGTTCAGTATTTAACAATTAGCAGGTATAGAAAGGGCCTTCTAACAAATATTTGACTCTTACTAAGCAAAAAAGTATCCATAATTAGAAAACCAAATACTCTCATTGGAATTCATAGCCTTCTATAATTATTATTTCAACATGACAGCAATATTGAGTATATGGAAATCCATGTCAACCAATGTACTAGGTACAAGCAATATAAAATTGAATAACATACAGTCCTTAAATGAAAAATAAAAAAGTGTCATGATAATAATTGTATGTTAAAATACTACAATCATAAGAGCAGTAATATCAAAATGTGCACCTGTCTTTAAACAAAACTACACTGAAATCAGTGCACTTAAGTACATTATCCCAACATTTTATAAAAAAGAACACCTTTTTCCTCATGCTCTTAAGAATTGTTTTTATTTATAATAAGCCTAATAATATCTAAACATCCCTGGAACAAACATAAAATATTTGATCTACAGGATTTGGCTTAAATAGACACATCTAATTTTAAGAGGCAAAACAAGACTTCATATTTGTCATATATATAGCATCCCAAACTGAAAAAAATGCCATCAGTCATATCACATACTTATTTGCATATTTACTTGAATATTTATCAAATATAATATGTTTGGTGGAATGATTCCATATTTCAACTCCTGAGTTTGACTCTTATCTTACAAGTATTACATCATTAATTATTAGTAACCTAAAATTGCTAATGAAAATTTAACCACCAGATGAGGGCTGAACGTTTCCTTCTACCCCTATGATTTATATTAATATAATATAAACAAAAGATTTAAAACCTCCCATTCACAAGAATGAACCAATTACAATAAAACACCACCATTTACATGTAAGACAAACAATTGTCCCATAAAGTAGTAATTTTCATTTCAAACCTTTACCTTTAGTTAGCAATAGAATGACAACAGAACACAAAGAAAATGATTTTAAGATTTGAAATCAGACCCTTGAAGATTAAAGCAGTTCACCATCTACACATAAATTATTTATTAATTATCCTAAAATGTTGATAAATAATGCTTTCTTGTTTGTTTTTTACCTTGAAAGGCACTGGCTCTTCAGTAAGAGGACTAACAGGAAGTGACGTGGTACTGCTTGCTGGACTCATGTCTGCACTCTGCAACGACAGTGAAATTGAATAAATAAAGATTATTTTGTAGTCACTTTGACAACTCATAATTCAGAAAAAAGAAATAAATAATTAAAATAAGTAAATAAGGAAAATATGAACGTAGAAAAAAATCATATTAATGTAGATTTAATTATAATTATATAATAAATCATTCCTTATACATAAATGATTATCTGGGAAATTAGTCAAATTATCTCTCCCCAGGTACCTTTTAAAGTGCATTTTATCAAATATAATGGCCATTTTTTCTGTGCTAGGGTGATATTTATTATTATCATTGCTTAATTTATATTTTTACAATTTAAAAAATTAAACTATATCTGTAATAATTCATTATGTTGCTATTTCAATATAGTCAGATTGATTTTCAAACATGCATTACAGTTTTTCATCTATAAAGATTTAAATCATTGCAACCATTTTTTTCGTTATGTAAACCAATCTGCTATAATACACAATTACAAACGGAAAAAATATTAAAAATTTTAAATTCCTAAATTCATGGTCCCTGACATTTTACCTTTCTTTTATTCTGCTAAACAAAAATATAATGATAAAATATTTACACAAACGTAAGAGAATGCCTGTAATATTGGTAATGGCTGTTATATTCTTTTAAGAATATAACCAATTAAAAGTTATTTAATGAAAGATTAGCCTAAAAAAGAGATATCAGTTAGAAGTTCATCATTAATTTACTTTTCTAAAAGCAAGGAAAAGATACTAACAATAGGTAGCAACAGAAGTTATTTTATTATATTCTTAATGCAGTCTTTCAGAGGAACTCTCCCATATGCAAATAAAACAAATAAAAGAAAATAAAACATTAAAAAGAATATACACCTACATTTTTCAGCTTTGTCTCTAAAGGTATGTGCAAACACACAGAAATTTTGCAATGCAGATTAAAGCCAAAGAATGAATACACCTCAAGTGACATAAGGATATAAGTAGACAAGTTTGACTAGCTTAAGTTTCAACAAAAGAATGTGTTCAAAGAATAGATGCTACAACCGCTACATATTCTTAGAGACTTTCTATTCAAAGATTATTTTCAATTCACGTATTCAAATGTGAAATAAACTGGTCACATTTTAAATATCCATTAAGTTGGGAATACTTCTGATTCCCTAGTCCAGAAACCAAGGATAAGAACTATCGACACAGGAACCAAGATGTTCAGTATAATGTTAATTTAACACATACCACACCTGTTTTGGAAATTGATACAAGGCAGTGCAATTTACTCAAGTAAAAATTTCTAAAGAAGGAAATTATGTAAAAATTGAACAATAATCTACTAAAGGAAGTAGGAAAATACATGCACCAGATAATTGAGGTGAATTAGTCTCTGACTCTAATTTCAAAATTTATCCGGAGTTGTACGTAATTTATTTGATCAAAACCAGGAAATATGATGAATGGCTGACTCTTACTCTCTGAATATATGACATAATAGAGAAACAAGGCTGGTCTTGCTAACTAATTTATCACAGGATGTTAACATATGAAATGAATGAAGCTTTATGAAGAAAAACAGAGGGAAAAAAAGCCTCTTGAGGTACTTCTCTTAATGTTGGATTTCTCAGAAGAATTTAAGCAAGTGATAGAACATAGTTTGTACATAGTTGAATCATCTGATATTTACCTGTACCATAAACAGCCTGCATAGCTTATTAAAGTTGCCATGTATGTACCTTTGCAACAATCCTGTATGTTCTTTACATGTACCCCAGGATTTAAAATGCAATTATATGTATACATACACACACACACACACACACATACACACACACATACACACACACACACACATATATTTGGAACTATTGAGAAGGGATGATTTTATTTTGCAACATGAGGAAGACATGAGTTTTGGGGGCCCAGAGGAGGAATGCTATAGTTTGGATGTTTGTCTCTCCAAATCACATGCTGAAATTTGATACCAGTGTTAGAGATGAGACCTAATGGCAGGTGTTTGTGTCATGGGGTGGATGTATGAATAGATTAATACCTCGGTGGGAGATATTAATAAATTCTTACTCTGATGGTTCTTGTAAAATAAATAAATAAATAAATAATATATTTAGGAGACATAGATGACATTCATTTGTAAAAATTAAAACGCCTATATCAGTCTTGCTATTGAAGGTTTTAATTTTCATAAGAACATAAATGCAAAGTCAAGGTTCATGGTAAACTTCTTTAAATATTGAGATCTCCCATAACTTTCCAGAAATTAATGTATAATTCAAATGACAGTAAAAAACGGACTCCAAATTTTACATCGTGTAACACAGATTCTTTAAAGGACATTCTAAGAGAAAACTGTGTTCTAGCTATAATTTTCAAATCCATCTTATAGTGTGACACTTTAATTCTACTGTTCTTAGGAAATCTTGAGATAAATATTATTAAAAAAAAAATCAATCTCATATGGCAACATCTGATAAACTGCACTTAGTTATCAAGTTGGGAAATACATGAATGAAGTATTTTCACGTTATCCTATTGTTTTCCCGTTCGTTTTTCAGTAATCTATAATTTAGGTATCATTCAATTTGCTTATTCTTTTAGATAAAATACTATTGTAAACCTTATAGAGATAAGTCTTATCCATATTTCATATTTTAATCCAATTACTCTTTCATTCATTGATAGCAATACTGATACAATTTAATATCTAAATGAAATAATAAGTTATATTTGATGTTTTTAAAAGCTAACAGTTTTTGTTAATCAATAGCTTTCTTCATAAAATGTCCTGCTAGATTTACGGTTTCATCCACTTTTTATATATTGCAGAGATTTTGCAAGTGATAGGTTCACAATAATGTGAAAGTGAATCCTACGGGAAAATAGAAGAACTATTTTTTAAAACTGAAGCAAATCTCTCAACAGAACAAATCTCCTATCTTCTTCTCATGAAACATTTGCTTTGTTTTGTTTTGTTTTTATATCCATTGGAGACACTCTAGACATCCTTGTCATGAAAAGCCGATTTTAACAAGTGTTCTTAACCTGGTTTTCGGGTTCTAAGTCCAATAGATAAACTGTTTCTTTCAAACACAAGAATAGACAAATAATATGAACCTTAACATTTTACCTACCATTAAAATGTTGTTTTGCCCAAATTGGCCACCTCTCTTTTCTATTTCTATTTAATGTAAATATGTTCTCTTTCATTTTTCTCCAAATTGGGCTTAAAATTAAGTGTGATCTTGAGGTTCAGTGATCCCTAGACATCTATTTACTGAGCAAATCAGAGAGTTCTGATTAATGTCCCTCCTTTTTCTGAATATTGTTCTCTACAATTCTTTCTACTTGTCTAATTTAAAAAAAAAAAACCCTTTCACTTCTTTGTTGCTGCTGTTTTTAGAAGACGATTCCCTTACCAAGTGATTCAATCTCTCATCTCCAGCTGATCCTTTTCTAAAACAACTTTATTGAAATATAACATACCTACAGTATAATGAAGTTTTGGGGTGTAAAACTAGATGAGGTTTGACAAATGTATCCGTATACGTAACAACCACCAATATCAAGATACAGAATATTTTCATCACCTCAGAATGTTTCCTCATGTGCCTCTGTGTCAACTATTCCCTATCCCTGCTGCCAGGGAACAATGGTGTGCTTTCTATTACTAGTTTGCTTTGGGCTGCTCTAGAATTTCGTATAAATAGAAATGTAAAGCATGAACTCTTTTGGGTCTTCCTTCTTTCACTCAGCAAAATGATTCTGAAATTCATTATGTCATATTGGTACATATTTCAGTAGTCTGTCCTTTCAAAATGTTGTATAGTATTTCATGGTAGACCAAAATTTGCTTATCCACTCACTTATTGATGAGAGCTGCTTCCTGTTTGGGGCTCTAAGGAAAATCCATTCTGAACATTCATGTATATATCTTTTAATGGATGGGTGTTTTATATTTAGTAATTACTTAACAATGAAATCTCTGGGTCTTGTGGCAAATTTATTCCTATATTATATAAACTGTATAAGAAACTGACAACTGTCTTCCAAAAGGATTGTAATATTTTGCACTTCCACTTGCAGGATATCTTGCAAACAATGGTGTTACCAGTCTTTTTTAAAAAAATTAGGCACTTTGTGGGTGTGCAGTGGTACCTCATTGTGGTTTTAACTTTCTCTTCCATGGGTTACTAAGGATGTTAAGTATCATTTCATGTGCCAATTAACCATTAGTATATCTCATTTGCAAAGAGTATTCAAATATTTTGCCAATATTTATCATTGGATTATTGGATACAAATCATTTGTCATATATGTTTATTATAATTATATTACCCAGCTTGGGGCTTATCTTTTTTATTTTTTTAACCATATATTCAAAAGAGCCAAAGTTTTCTGAACTACATTTTTAGCTTGCTTTTTATGGTACATGCTTTTGGTGTTTTACCTAATAAATACTGGCCCACCAATCACATTCTCAAAGGTTCTCTCTTATGTTTTCTTCTACTAACCTTTCACTTCAATACATATAGGCAAAAGATAGCGGAGTCAGAGATTTATTATTTGAAGATGCTTTTCCAGTTTCTTCGTATACAATAAACATTAAATAAGCCTTATACCATACATATTCTAGCACAAGATTTTCACAGGTTAATTTGAATTTTAGCAAGCAACCTCAGATATTTTAGTCAATCTTTCTCATTATATGAAAGTCTTATATTTACTGTCTTCACTATAATTATAATAAATAAAAATATAGATTTATTATTTGTAGATATGTCTAAGGGAGGTTAGGAACGCTTTGCTACAGTACTGAAAATTTTAAAGTAATATTCAAGACTCTCATCAGAATGGATTATTACAGAATTTCCTAGGAAGATGATGAGCAGGAGAGAAGTGAAGTATTTAGTTGGGGAGGACAATAGAAATACCAAGAGAGGCAATGTTTCTATTATCTCAGGGACTGGTTCTCTTACCACTGGACTCATCTTTGGCCCTGAGAAAAA